AAGTGTCAGTGAAATTAAAAACTGATATCTTATTTTTTTTTTGTTATTTTAGATGCTCGAATCTTGCAGAAAAACGATCAGAATAGAAATGGATCCAGCAATTTTGGGTTGGGTGTTGTAGTTTTTGAGAGTTTAAAAAAATACAGTAATAGGATTTTACAGGTAGGAACTAATTTTAATAACTTAAGATTTAATAATTCACTAATTTGCATATTTTTTCTGGTTTTATAAGATTTTTCAATTTTCTGATAATTGTATCGAATATTATGGAATTATATTGTTGAACCACAGGCAATATAGCTTACCGCCACAGACTGCGTGTTAAATGCTTTAAATTGGCAACCCGAAAAGGATTGTCAGCCGGCATCCAGCTATAAAATTTGGCATGGTAACTCGTCTACTGGTAACAGGGGGCAGTTCTGGCGGTGGCATTGTTGCCAAATAATAACTACCAAATAAATTTAATGCATTCAATTATGTAATTAAAGAGATATGGAACTTATCTTTTGTTTGGAAATCACATTTGTGATAAATGCTAGATAAAATAAATCAAGATAGAATTAAAACTATGAATTTACCTAATTAATTATTTATTTTTTATCACCTTGGAATGGGAGAATTCAAAAACTTGAAATTAATGTTTTTAGATTTGTGCGTCGACTTCCAATTTGGTACAATATTAACACCTATGCTTAAAAAAATTGCATTATACAGGTTGTGTATCCTTAGATGGGTACTGCTCTCTTATTGTTGATTTCTTTAGATAGGTAAAATAATTATTAACACAAGTGTTGCATATTATGGATGCCATGGGCCGTTGTATTTGATTCTACCTAAAATTCTGCTGGCGGTGTACTCCATCGGCAATTCGGAAATTTAAAACTGCTGGCTTATTCCAGTAGTGGTTTGGGGCGATAGCTATTTTATCACTCAAGTTAATGTCAGTATAACAAAAATTTAATGATGAATAAAAATTTTATTATAACAAATTAAAAATCTGATCCGAAACTCTTTACTGTTTTTCATTTTATAAATTAGACTTATGTAGACCATCACCACCATCTGCAATAATTTATAGATTTTCGAAAACTGTATAATATATTCTTTCACAATTTTTTTTCACATACTATATTTATGAGACATTTATTTGATTTTTATTTTTTTTAGTATATAGCAGACACAGATGAGAAGGATACACATGGACAAATTTTAACACGGAGCATACGTACTGCACTGAAGTTGAAGGAAAAGGGAATAACCAAGGATGACATTGTTAGCAGTTGCAGTCACAACCACAAAAATTCCATCATTCCTTTTATTGCGTCACTCTTTCTTGGAATCAAAACAGCCCACTTTGATCCGAATTTGTTTCATTTGGATACGATCCATCTACTGAAGCTGATTAAGCCGAAAATTATATTCGTCGCATTGGAATCGTTACCACTTATGGAAAAGTGTTTGAATGAATCTCAAGTAAACACAGAGTTGGTAGTGTTTGGAGAAAGTGAAAAATATTCGAACTTCGATGAATATTTAGACCCTAGTACTGATGAAGATAAATTTCGACCAGTTGTGGTTGACGTCTTGGAAACGGCTGTTATAATGTTCAGCAGTGGGACAACAGGCTTACCAAAGGGAATTTGTCTAAGCCATTATGGCATACTTGGTCAGATTTCAAATAAAGTTATGAAATTATGGGGTAATACTAGAGAAAGCGTTTTATTGACATACACCACTCTGTACTGGTTATCTGCTGTATTTATGGTACTGAAGTCTATCGTTGAAGGATGCGCTAGGGTCGTATGCAAACAATTTGATCCTGCTGCAATGTGCAGGCTTATAGAAAAATACAAGGTAGATAGATATGTTTTTTATAATTTTCTTGACAAATAAATGTGTATTTAATTATATATTATTCTTTTAGATAACAAGTGTCTTTTTGGGACCATACCTTGCTTACGACGTTTTAGACGCCCGACAAAAAAATATAGATACCAGCAGCTTAAAATATATATCGATAGGTGGTGCCCCAGTGACAAAAAAACTGATGGATGAGCTAAGAGAGGCTTTTCCCAGCGCGACTGTTTTACAGGGCTACGCACAAACAGAAGCCTCAGGGATGATTTCTATTTTTAATGTAAATGATCCAAAGGAAGTAGAGTTGCAAACAATTAAACCATTATGCTCTGGAAAAGTTGTAGCAGAATATAATTGGAAAGTAAGTTAAATATCTTTGTATAAAATAACACTTTCACTTAGCTAGACCAGACAATTAGCTACATACTCAAAAATGTTAAGTACAGTATCACCAGTATCAAGCTTAACTTTTAAAATCGTACGATTAAAATAATTGTTGAGCTCGAACTACTCTGAAATTTTATACGTGCATAAATAAGAAGAAAAATATTTGTTGTTTCAGATTGTCGACCCCGTCACAGAAAATGTCCTTGGTCCAAATGAAAGGGGAGAGTTCCGATACAAAATAGATTATCAAATGAACGGGTACTATAAAATGGATTCTTCTTCGGCGTATGATTCGGAAGGATTTATAAAATCTGGAGATATAGCTTATTACGATGAAGATAACTGCTTTTTTGTTGTGGACAGAATTAAGGAAATGTTTAAATATAAGGGATGGCACATTCTTCCCGCTGTTCTGGAGGAGATCCTTCTGTCTCATCCAGCAGTCAAAGAAGCTGTTGTGATTGGTATTCCTCACGATTTAGATGGGGACCATCCAATGGGTATCATTGCGTTAAATAAAGGGTATAAGGATGTTACCCCGGAAGAAATAGAACTCTATGTGAGACAAAGGGTGTCAGATAATCAGCGCTTAAGAGCGGGTGTTAAAATTGTAGGAGAGATTACCAAAACAGTTACTGGTAAGATAAGAAGGAATGACATGAAAAAAATGGTGCTCAATGGTGATATATAAATTTAAGTATTCTACATTTATTTATGGAAATCCGTATTGTACTTTGTTTTATAATATAATAATCTCGATGTTGTACTTAACAAAAATTCTAAATAAATTATAATTATGGTATGTATTATACGCCATATTTATACATAGGTATGTACATTTATTTGCACAGCTAGATATTTTGTGTTTTATACTGTCCACACCACAGCCAAGTCATCGAATGCCCACTTATTATTAAAGATAAAAAATAAGTTAGGTCAGACTGTGCAAAGCACAAAATTCTCTACATGTTCTTGAAATTGTTTTGCCACATTGTCCATAAATAACAAACAAATTAAAATAATCCTGATTGGTATAATTTAAACGATCCCCAGACCTTTTTATTTAAATTTTTTGCAAAAACTATTACTGATATAACAATAATTTGACAACTATTTTGAGAAATGTCAAGTTATTTTAATTGTTTTTGGAGTGTTTCTGGTCGTGGCCAATTTGACAACAGGTCTGATACGAGAAAAACTGTCCCAAAAATAGAAAATTGCAAATATCTCTAAAAGTAGTAACGGCAACCATACAATGCTTATATGGTTTGAAAGGAAATTTCAATCTGCATACGACAGAGTATAGGGTTTCCGTTTAAGTTAACAAAGTTATAGTTATCTGATGTTATCAAAATTCAACATCAAAAGTGAAACACTTGGTATTAAATGTTTTAATTTGTTAATATACCATAATTTAATATTACCTAAGCCATTTACAAGTACCAAAAATCCATTTGATATCACGCTCCTGAAAAATGTTACTAGCATTTCCGCGGACCCTTGCATCTGTCAATTTTTTTTTAATTAATATCTCAAAATCAATCCTAGGTTTAGGGAATATTTAATAAAGTGACCCTCAAATTTCACGTGGAATCCGAAAATGCAGTAATATATAGGGTGTCCAATTAAAAATAAGAAAGTAAATGTCGGCTTCCGATATAACCGGATGTGCCATAAAGTTCTAAATATTTTACCTGTATTGGCCCTACTACCTCTGCTAGGTTGCCAAATTTTCAGATTTATCGGATAAGTACTTTCCGAGATATCGATAGAGGCGATCCCTGGTGAGACACACTGTATATATTACATTTGTTATATCATTTGGAAATGTGCCTAGTTATATGTTAATTGGATTAAATATATTCATCTAAAACCAGGTATTCCAATTTTATGACTATTTTGGACTTGAAATACCAATTAATTTAAATTATTTGCTGCATTACAAATGTAATTTTATTTAAACATTGGTATTTGCTTACTATATTTTAATTAACACTCTTTGACAAACAAAGAGACAAAACAAACATTAGATACATTTTTCAGAAATTGAACAATTTTAGCGCCTATTTAAAAAAATGAGTAGGATTTGCATTCGTTTTATATAATGAATATTGTTAAGAACATTCTTCTTAATTATTACATGACTATTGATATTTGAATTTATTACTAAACAATGCATCCCATTTAGAAACCGCATTGTTTTTAAAGACAGAAATGTGTGGTTTATCTGAAGATTAATTTTTTTAAGAGAAATCTTTAGGTCAAAACAGATTTTTTAGTTTCTCAGTTACAGCTGAACTTTTTCTGAAATTAGATTTTTTTCTCCTGACATTTTATCTTATAAATTTGGATCCAGTTGTATATTTGCTTCATTAGAGTTATCTAACTGTTTTTTTTATGAAAACTTTATTTCGTTATGACCTAGTTAAAAAAAATATATGAAGCAAATGCGTTACAGATCGTTGTTAAAGTTGGATAAAAACAAAATAAAATAGTAAATGAGGCAAACTGAAACCTATTAAAACATTTAGTGTTAAAATATGTTCTAATACCTGAAGATTTATCCTAAGAAAGTGATTCATGTTATTCATTCATTATTATCATCGCACCCGTTGTCTAAATTCAAATTTATACATGTAACACTGCCCTATTTACCATTGGCATGGCGTATCGCGCACTACATTCTGGATAAAAATGGCGGTTGTTAAAGTAAGTATATAACGCTTTGACGATAACACTGATAACTAAATATTATAAATTCTCCGTCTAACTTATACACATACTTCAAGACAACGTTATGGGTAATGGAATACATTTTACGTTTAAGAAATGTATCGAAACGTGTTGATTAAAATTTTATTTCGTATTCAATTAAAATATTATATTAGTTTAATAAATATAAGTGTCAGTGAAATTGAAAACTGTATTTTGTTACAATTTTTTTAGTAGGATAAGGATAATATTTATTAAAAAATATAGTTAAATAATATTAATTCTAATATATTATTCATTTTGTTATTTTAGATGCTCGAATTAATACCTCGCTAAAAAACGATCAGAATGGAAATGGATCCAGCAATTTTGATCTGGGTATTGTAGTTTTTGAGAGTTTGAAAAAACACAGTAATAGGATTTTACAGGTAGGAACTAATTTTAATGACCTAAGGTTTACCATTCACTGATTCGCATATTTTCTATAGTTTTATAAGATCGTCCAAGTTTCCATCTCTGATAATTATCGAATATTATGGAATTAAATAATCAAACTGATTTATTGTATACTTGTATGTTAAATTTAGACTGCCTTCTGATTGCGCAGTTGCTATGGAGATAATTAAATAACGTGTCATATAGTTTAAGTTGACTCAAATAAATATCAGTATTGTAACGACGATTCAATATATTTTGTTTGAACGTTGCAGTTTACATAGCTTAGACAAAACAAATGCTCCATCACCTACAGTTTCAATTTTAACTTCCGCATCATTTCGATATTTGAGGAAATAAATATAATTCCATTTGTAAATTGTTGAGTTGAAGAATAGTTTAAAAACAGAGATTCTGTAAAATCTCTTCCGTTTTAATAGTACAATAAGATATAATTTAATTATTAAGAATATAAACAAGAAAACATAAAATAAACAATTTTCTTCTGACATATGTAAACATATAAAATGGTTTTGACCAGCGGTATTACATTTACTGATACTGTGCTGCAATTTTATGAGCTAATTGTGGTTCGTACAATAATATTAACTTGGACACCCTATAACTCGCAAATATACTTTGAACTATCTCGTTATATCATCTGAGCATTGTGCCTCTATTTAAATACATCGTGTTTGTTTATTTTAAAATTTTATCATGAAATATTTACAAAAGGTAATTAAAAGTAATTAACAATACCTTTATTTTCTTTCTATGTTCACAGTGACATGTAAAAGTTTGCAGTACAATACAAAATAAGATAAATATATTAAACAAATGTTTGTATTCTTTCCACTAATTTCTCTCACAATAAACTTTAGTTAGTTTACTAGACTATATTTATGAGATATTCATTTATACAGGGTGATTCAGATTTAATCTGGATAACTTCAGGAATCGATAGAACGGGTTAAAATAATGTTCATTCATGATATAAACTTTTTTCCTAAATCGCATCGTTTCGGAGATAGAGGGCGTTGAAGTAGCAATGTTTTTCCCTTTTCTTAGCATTAAAAATACTTTTAAAATAATACTTTTAACGATGATTTTCACAAACCTCAGTTTATACAAATCATTGTGAATTTTGTTTTTCCTGGGTTGCTATAACGTTAAATGAAATTTAGGCGACTGGAATGATACATTGTCACAGATCTCATTGAATACCTCAGAAACAAGGTCAAATGTCGAAAAAAAAACAAGAGACGAAAAAGTTTTAAAATTAATGAGACAAGAGTGGTGCGCATCTGTTTTACTGAAATTAATTAATTTTTTTGAAGTTTTGAAATAATGTAGGAGGGGGTAGCACACAAAATACACTTCTAAGAGGGGTAGGTGGTTCAAAAAGAAGCTTATCTAAAATCATAAGGAGTGTTTGTGTTCCGAATTTTATCCCGAATGGGATCTAGGAAAAAAGTTTATATCATGAATGAACATTATTTTAACCTGTTCTATCGATTCCTGAATTTATCCAGATTAAACCTGAATCACCCTGTATATTTTATTTGAATTTTATATTTTTCAGTATCTAGCAGACACAGATGAAACAGATACACAAGGGCAAGTTTTAAAACGGAGCATACGTACTGCAATGAAGTTAAAGGAAAAGGGAATAACCAAGGATGACATTGTTAGCAGCTGCAGTCATAACCACAAAAATTCCATCATTCCTTTTATTGCGTCACTCTTTCTTGGAATTAAAACAGCCCACTTTGATCCGAATTTGTCTCATTTAGAGACGATCCATCTACTGAAACTGATTAAGCCGAGAATTATATTCGTGGACCTGGAATCGTTACCACTCATGGAAAAGTGTTTGAAGGAATCTCAAGTAAACACAGAGTTGGTAGTATTTGGAGAAAGTGAAAAATATTCGAATTTCAATGGATATTTAGAACCTAGTGTTGAAGAAGATAAATTTCGACCAGTTGCGGCTGACAACGTTATGGAAACGGCTATTATATTGTTCAGCAGTGGGACAACGGATTTACCAAAAGGAATTTGTATAAGCCATTATGGTATACTTGGCCAAATTTTAAAGAAAAGTATGAAAGTGTCGGGTAACAATAAAAATAATAGTAATAATAATAACATTTCATTACTATACACCGCTCTGTACTGGATATCAGCTGTTGTGATGTTACTAAAAGGTATCACTGAAGGATGCGCTTACGTTGTTTGCAAACAATTCGATCCTGCTGCAACGTGGAGGGTTATAGAAAAATACAAGGTAGACATATTCATTTTTTATAATTTTCTTGGCAATGACATCCTATATATTTAATGTCACTTAAAGATGTAATCAATTAATCTTTTCATGAATTTAAATAGAAGATATCTTGGTGTCTAATCAACTGGTGAACATATATGAATTAAAATCGTCAATAGATAAAAAAACAGTGAGACAATAAGACATTTGTAACAAACTTTTGAAAGATTTTACAAGACATCTGTTTGATTTTATTGTATTTAAAATGATTAACAAAGTCCAATTAGTAGTTTATTTATTTTTTGTAATGTCAATGCGAGAAAATGGAATATCAATATTCTCAGAATGCCTGGTATAGTGTTGGTGTACGTTGCAGTGTTTGACCAAATTTCCAACATTTTTATGAATATATAAAAAAGCATGGAAGTGGTAAAAACCTATTTTTTATTTAAATAAATCGCCACTAGAAGTAGTTCTAGATACACCAGCAATAAGACGAATCGCAGCCTTCTTCAGAATAAAAGCTTTTTGAGCATTACTAGAATTACCCCAAAGTACAATGCCATATGTCAAATGACTATGAACTAAAGAGTAATACACCATTCTCATTATACCGTTATTAACTGAAGGTCGCAGCCGTCTTAACAGGAATATTTGTGTTGATAGTTTTGAACATAGGTAGTCAATATGTGCTGTCCAGTTTAGACTAGAATCTAGAGTAACACCCAAATACTTTACATCCAATTTGGGTTGGATTTTACAAGAAGTAAATGTTAGGTGTTGAGCTTTGGACACATTTAACTTCAATTTATTCGCTGAAAACCAATTTTCCACCGTAATCAAACTACCTGAATTCATATCTTGACTAGCACGAGACAACAGTGTTGTATCATCAGCAAAGAGGATACATGTACTATAAGGAATATTGACCAGTAAGTCGTTGATATATACCAGGAAGAGCACAGGACCTAGTACTGACCCTTGAGGTACACCATTACATACAGGAAGTAAGGTAGATTCTCTGCTCTGTATACTGACATATTGCTGCCTGCCTGTTAAATAAGACTGAAAAAGTTGTAATTCATTATTACGAATACCGTAATAGGCGAGTTTTGCAAGTAAAATATCGACATTAACGCAATCAAAAACTTTCGAAAGATCACAAAAAGAAGCATAGGTAACAGCATTATTATCAAAACCATCAACGACTTCGCCAATAACTGCCAGAAGAGCTTTGATGGTAGAAAAGCCCTTTCTGAAAGCAAATTGTAAAGGTGACAATATAGATTTAACTTCCAAATAAGCAAGTAGTTTTTCTTTTACAAGGATTTCAAATATTTTCAAAAAAATCTGAACTGTAGCTATGGGACGAAAATTATCAAATAAGTCAATGTCTCCTTTTTTGTACACAGGAAGAACGTTTGTTATTTTTAAACAATCAGGCCATGTACCTTCTTCAATACATTTATTAAATAGGAAAGTTATTCAGAAATAAAATAGGATCCGTATTTTGGTCATTTAAAATATCAGCTATAACTTCAGAGATAGAAGTGACAAATTGATTAAATTCATTTGGACTTATACTTGTTTTCACACAACACGAAACTGACTATATTAGGAATAGGTATTTAATTTGGGATCACGTAATTTTACTTATATATTATACTTTTAGGTAACAAGTGCGTTTTTGGTGCCATATCGAGCTAGAGAATTCTTAGCTGCCCGTCAAAATGTAGATACCAGCAGTTTGAAGCATATGGCGACAGGTAGTGCCCCAGTGACTAAAAAGCTGATGGATGAGCTAAGAGAAGCTTTACCGAGTGCGGCTGTTGTACAATGTTACGGACAGTCAGAAGCTTTAGGGATGATCGCCTCTTTCAACATAGGTGATCCAAAGGAGATGGAATTGCAAAAAATTAAACCATTATCCTCTGGAAAAGTTCTACCAAAATATAATTGGAAGGTAAGTTAAATACCTTTGTACACAATAATTCCTTGTCTGTACACCAGACAATTAGGTATACACTAAAAAGTTTAAGTCTAGTATCATCAACATCAATCTCGTTTTGCTCTTAAGTTTCACAAGTTTCAAAAACAACAGTAAGAATGATTTTTGTTGTTTCAGATTGTCGACCCTGTCACAGAAAAAGTCCTTGGTCCAAATGAAAGGGGAGAGTTCCGATACAAAATAGATTATCAAATGAACGGGTACTACAAAATGGATTCTTCCTCTGCATATGATTCGGAAGGTTTTATAAAATCTGGAGATATAGCTTATTACGATGAAGAGAACTGCCTGTTTATTGTGGATAGAATTAAGGAAGTGTTTCTATATAAAGGATGGCGCATTTTTCCCGCTGTTCTGGAGGGGATCCTTCTAACTCATCCAGCCGTCGAAGAAGCTGTTGTGATTGGCATTCCTCATGAATTACATGGGTACCATCCAATGGGTATCGTTGCCTTAAATAAAGGGTATGAGGATGTTACCCCGGAAGATATAGAACTCTATGTGAGACAAAGGGTGTCAGATGATCAACGCTTAAGAGCGGGTGTTAAAATTGTAGGAGAGATTACCAAAACAGTTACTGGTAAAGTAAGGAGGTATGGCATGAAACAAATGGTGCTCAATGGTGATATTTAAATTTAAATATTCTATTATACAGGGTGATTCATTAACAATGGGAAAATCGAAAGCTGAAGATACTACACGTGAAATGGTGACCATTGGCGCAAACATGCCTTGCCCGAAGGTTATAGTTTCGAAAATACAAGGTGTTGAAAGTTACAATTTTAAATCGTTTATTTTGCGATTATTCTGAAAATATGTAGGTTAGGAACTTGAAAATTTGTGAAACTATATCTTTTTAGGCGACGAATAAGATGCGTATTGTAATTTCAGCATTGCTCATAGAGGGCGCCACTTACGACCAATTTTAACGAAAATTTAGTTAATAACTTTTTACCCTGTATGTCTAACATGAAATTTGATTCAAAACCTGAAAGAGCTATCATTTTTTCCATTAATTATATGTTCTTGTTTCATTTCGGTATCTCGATTCGTTTTCGAGAAAAATCGATTTAACGAACACTATGTTTTGATAATACGAGAAATTAAAAGCGAAACAAACCAAGTGTTTCTTCGTGTTATAACAAATAAACAAATATAAACATATAAACAAATAAAATCCGTAATAATGATTTAAAGTCAGTGTTCGAAGAATCCACCGTTGACATTTACACATTTTACACAACGTTTTCTAAGAGATCTTCGAGTTTGAAACAACATATTAGGATTGCGTTTGACTTCGTTGGCAGCGATTTGTATTCTTTGCCACAACTCTTCACCCGAACCAATAGATTATTTGTAAACTATATCTTTTTTCGTTCGAGACCATATAGAAAAATCAAGAGGATTGAAGTCAGGACTTCTGGGTGGCCTAGCAAAAATGCTTCCACGGCTTGAAGAAGTTCCACTTTATTTAAGAAGAGACATGTAGTTCATGTACGACGGAGCTCCCCCGCATTTTTCTCGGCCAGTGCGTGCATATTTAGATGCAGTTTTTCCAAATCGCTGGATTGGCCATGTAAGCATTTTTGCTTGTCCACCCAGAAGTCCATACTTCAAACCTCTTGATTCTATTTGGTCTCGAATGAAAGATATAGTTTACAAAGAATCTATTGGCTCGTGTGAAGAGTTGTGGCAAAGAATACAAATCGCTGCCAACGAAGTCACACGCAATACCAACATGTTGTTTCAACTCGAATATCTCTCAGAAAACGTGTAAAGTGTATCAGTGTCAACGGTGGATTGTTCGACCAAATACTTTAAATCATAATTACGTATTTTACGTAACACGAATAAACATTTGGTTTGTTTCGTTTTTAATTTCTTGTATTATCAAAACATAGTGTTCGTTAAATCGATTATTCTCGAAAACGGATCGAGATACCGAAATGAGACAGGAACACATAATTAATGGAAAAATGATTGCTCTTTCAGGTTTTGAAACAAATTTCATGTTAGACATACAGAGTAAAATTGAAATTATTAACTAAATTTTCGTTAAAATTGGTCGTAAGTGGCGCCCTCTATGAACAATGCTGAAATTACAACACGCATCTTATTCGTCGCCTAAAAAAATATAGTTTCACAAATTTTCAAGTTCCTAACCTACATATTTTCAGAATAATCGCAAAAAAAACGATTAAAAATTTTAACTTTCAACACTCTGTATTTCCGAAACTATCAACTTATAGATAGTCGGATAAGACATGATTGCGCCAATGGTCACTGTTTCACGTGTAGTATCTTCAGCTTTCGATTTTCCCATTGTTAATGAATCACCATTTATCATGGAAAATCGTATTGCACCTTATAATGTAAAATACCCGATGTTGTGTTTACAAAAGTTCTGAATAAATTAAGTTTAAGGTCCGTATTATGGTCACTTCGCATTTGTACATGTGTACATACATACATTTGTTTATTTAAGTTTAATAAATGTCAAATGTATTTCGTTTTTATTTATTATTTTTTTTCCATTATTTCCTCTTTGTTCTATTATTATTATCACCTTATTTATATCTCAGTTAATTATTTGTTTTTCAAATTAAAAAAAATCGTACCAATGAAAATTTAATTCATGAAAATTTCGATCAATTTAAATTTTAGCTTTTGGGTCATAACAGTTTGTGATATGAAATCTGTTACAAGTTAGGCGTCTTCACTTTCAAAACAGGTAAACAAATTCAATTATAAAATTTCAAATGACCTAATTCCATCTACTTGCTCATTTCGTTCTGTTTTCAATTGACCAGCTAGGTAAATTTCCTGGATGTGCAAATTGGATCTAGGCTCTATCGATGTGCTGTTTTCTTTCCAACGATGACTGCCTGTTTGGAACTCTGCAGGCCACAACTTTTCTTCTGTTGTGGAACTCATAGGCGTAGTTAGGATTTTTGCCTAAGGTGGGCCGAGGATTATATTAATTTTATTTTATTATTTATGGGGTTGCAAGGTCTATGGTAGCCTCTAAAATTTCAAAACCTAACACTTTTGACTGAGTTCATTCTAAAAAAACTCTTTCGTTTGAGATTTGAGAAAAAGATCGCTCAATCAGCGACTTACCGATATAAGAATGATATATGATATTGTTGGATTTTTTTCTGGGGTGGGCACCGGGATCTCTGGGAAGGGAAGAGGGCTTGCACACCCCTGCCCGCATGATGGAACTCCAGCAACTGCACTTCCGTCTTTTTTACTTACACAGGTACTTTTTTGTAGCGCTTCACTTTATTTTTTGTTTGATACTTTTGGCTACTCACTAGGTTATATTATCTGGGTTTTTATTCTGTTTATGTGAAATTTTTATTCCAAACACTGTTAATTTTCTTTAACGTTAAACTTCTGCACAACTATCTTTCTTTTTCTGTTTTACATTTACACTATTTTTCATTTCACATTTTTTTTAATCACTTTGTTTTAACATCCAGATGTTCAATTGTTTTTTGTAAAGAAATATCTTTATTATATGAAGGTAGAAAATGAAGAGGTCCATGTGGCTTTGCAGCGAAACTATTTACAGTTTTTTCAAAAACAATTGACTGCTTTAGTCTTTTTTTTCTGTCATTGCAAAATCTAATTTATATTTTTACAAGTCTTATTCTTATGAGTAATAACAACTTAATTATAACTCTAGAGTCGTATTCTCTGTCATTTTGATCTGTCAAGCTAACCCTGATAATTTTTTAGTCAATCCGCGTTTTTGCACCATAACTAATATTATTTAAATCGCTTTTAATGAATAGTCCTATTTTAAACATGTTCCTCGCACTTATCTTTATATTCTAAACATAATTGATTATTATTTAATTAAATTTTTTCACAATTTTCAATATGTCAAACAATCTTTTTGTTATTTTTATATTATAATTTTTTTAGATTTTGATCAACATATTGAGGAATACAATTTAATGAATCAAATTGAAGCTTGTCACTCTGCCAGCCTATACAGAAAATTATTTTTATTTTTTGAACAAAGATTTTAATTTTATCAACTGTAAAATTCTAGGAAGCATATAATACAATATAATTCTTATTATAGTCGAAGAAAACGGTTAGAAGGATTTTTCACGTTTGACCGGACTCAACGTGCCTTTTTCGGTCTTGACACTTCAGAAAACTTCCATTGGGACGACTGAGTCTTCGTTTCGACGCCGTAACCATATACCCACGTTTCGCTACCAGTTACAACGCGTTTGAGAAAGTCTTTGTCATCAGCGAAGTCGGTAAGCATTTGTTCAGCAATAGTTATGCGATGCTGTTTTTGTTGGAAATTCAGCATTTTTGGAACAAATTTTGCTAGCATCCGCTTTATGTTCAAAACATTCGTAAAAATCGCGCCGCAGGACGTCTCTAATGGTGATTATTCTATTAGCAAGCACAATACCTTTAACTTTTTCCACGTTTCATCATTGCTAGGACGCCCAGACTTTGCGTCATCTTTGATGTTCGGCTTTCCTGAAAACGTGTTTACCATTTTGTATGCATCGCTACACTCAATTCCGTGTTTAACACAAAATTTCAGACAAACTCTTTTATCCGACATCTAGCCGCACAAAAAAATCGCCAAACACTGAATTAAGTCTTACTCATTCGCTCTTTAAACAAAAACTAAGCGTGGCATCTGCCTAAATATGACAGGTACGTTACTGACAGTACTACCAATAGACAAAAAAAGAATCAAATCGATAGACAAGATACAGCACGCGAAATTTGAAAATTCTCATTACCATTTGATCAAACCTAATATTTTATTTAATATTTTCAGTTAAAGATGCAACGCACCAAATATTTATTTGACGTTGATAATGGATTCCTCATTCCCATAGTGGTCTAGTAGCGTTGTTTAGTAAATATCAAAGGATGTTGCATTAAATACGTGGGTGTACCTCCTTATGAAAGCGAGCAGGAAGAAAGTTTTAGAACGTTCTGTAGAACGTAATTAAGTGTGTTTGCCGAGCACCCGTATCCATTGATAGCCACCCTAATGCATATCAGAGCTGGTTCAAGACAGAGAAGGAATGTTAATTATAAACAAAACTCACAAATACCCCTCTCACTGTGAATAGAGGGATAAATTCGAGCCAATCCAATTATTTAATTACAAATTGCAGTTTTTAAGGACTAATTAAGCACGTTACAACAATTTTCAGCTACCAAAGAAAAGCACTTCGCGAACTAAAACAAATGTCTAACAATTTCTCAAGTCTGAGCTTTCGCCAGTGAATAAGCAATGAAAATTTTATTAGCTGCAGTGAATATTAGTCAAAAGTTGATTAAATTTTAAGGATATATTTGCGCCTAGTTCCGTTTAATTTGTTTGAAAGATTTCCTGAAGTTTTAGAGGTTCGCACTCAGGGGAATGAAGATCCCAGATTCTTAACCATACAGGATATTCAATAAAAACATACTAGGACAAAAGGTCGTATACAAGGTATCGGAAAAGTGTAAAAAAAATGAAACCAAATAGTATTTAAAAAACATATGAACGGTTGATATGAACATATGTCCGCGAATGCTTTACATCCTAAGTACAATGTGTTAAAAGTTTCGTAAATAAAATACGTTTCTGTTTTTCCACATCCAAAGTAGACGAGCAAAATTTCGGCAGAGAATTTAAGAGC